AGATCAAGGCCTCTGCATTGAGGGAGGGGTGGGGCTGGGGAGCAGAGACTGGGGCAGGCCCCCCAGCAATCCGGCCAACCACCCCAAACCCTCCATGCCACAAGTTGTATCATTGTTCACCACTGCCAAGAGCTGAGCAAGTATCAGTGGGGGGGAGGTTTCCTGGGGCAGAGGGAGTTAGGGGGCTAAATATAGCCCATTGTCCCCTGCCCATGAAGCCCCCATGTAGACTCCACAAGCCCCTCTGATCCACCAAAACATCCCAGCCCCCAGCAACCCCCAGGAGTCCCTGCTTGCCACCCCATCCTCCTAGGGACACCACTTGTCCCTACATGCCCTCGTGGATCCTAGCTGACCCCCCCATCCTTCTGCAGACACCGCCTGCCCCACCAATCTCTCTTGCAGATGTCACCTGCCCCCTATCCCACCTGTGGATGACACCTTCTCCCCCATCCCCCCACAGATCCTGTCTGCCCCCTGACCTGTCCAGAAACCCCCAACCCCCCACTCAGGGCCTGCTTGCCTCCAACCCCCCAACTCCCCTGCTAGCCTCCCCCAGCCCAACTTACCTTATATCGGGTGGCTGTTTTTAATACAATTTTAACAATTTACCCCAGATGTAGTTGCAACAAAAAGTACTCATAATTTGTGCCACTATTTCAGTGGACATCTATTTGCTTTATGGCAGGAAAACACAAGCAACTGGGACAACAGGTGATGTACTTTTTGCTCAGTGAAATGGACAACTGCCGGAACAGATCACAACAGAGATGATCTGCTTTAATTAGCAACATCTATTTCTACCTTAAGTGTAAAGAATGGGTAAAGCAGCAGTATAGTCAGTCAATTACAAGAAATGAAGTAATTGAGAAGAGAAGCTTCAGAAAAACGGTGGGAGACTTTTTACAGAAACTGTGATTCCTTATGTGTCTAAACATGCTCCAAAGTAGACAGAAGTGCTATGTAACCTTAGTAACTAAGTTGATAGTAGCCTGGTCCACTTGCTGTTTTGACTGCTAATGTAAAATGAAAGTATTTCATTTCTGCAAGCATTTCACTGTCTGTATAAAAGAACACAACCTTCAGTAAAAAGTTAATGACACAGTTCCCTCAAATATATGAATGTCAAATCACAAAATGAGTCTAGAATAAAACATGCTTTTTAAGTTGCCTAGAATCTATTGGTCTTAAAAAATTTTACTGCCATATGCACACTTTCCCATGTACATGTTTTTGGAAAGAATAGATCATTCATTACATTAGTATGACTTCCACTACTTACCTCCTGAAAGGAGCTGAGGTTTGCTTTTAACAGAAGGACTGCAATGAGGGACTTTGTTGTTGAATGAGGTAAAGAGATGTTCACTGAAATCATCGGGAAGTTCTGCATCCAGAAAGGTCTTCATGAACAGCTTAAAACCATCTAAATCAATTGTCTAAAGTAAAAAATAAAACATTTAAGCTTTTGAAGTTCAGAATAAATCTCATTTTATTTTAAACAATTTTAGTTATTAACAGACATTACATCTGCTTTAATAACAGTGGTCTATGCGATAAGGGTATCATCATATTGTTTTAACTTACAGAGTTGGAGTTCTGTTTTTTGGGGGTGGGAAGTTGTGGTTTTTTTAAATTAATACCCACAAAATTAAATCAAAATGTTATGATTATTATTTATCCTCTTTTTACACAAAGGCCTGGTGAACCAAAAGTCCCTTACACCAACAGAGTGACATTAAAGGACCAACAATTCAGGCAGCTGATGACATCTCTTGCATCACTTTTTGCAATTTAATCTCATTTTCTTTTGTACTCTGAAGCAAGGTAAAAGAAAGTGATTAGTTAGCTTTCATTATGACTTTTATTCTTTTAATACAGTAATAATATCAGTTATAATTAATTAATTGTTAAACTATATGATAGCATTTTATCCTAGTGAGTAATATGGAGTTATGATGAAATAAAGATGTCATGGAATAGATCAAGAAAACTTGAAATAATTTCACTTGTAAGTTTGAACTGTGTCATAATTATACACTAATCAACACAGTTACAGTTACTCCTTGCTTAACATCGTAGTTACTTTCTTGAAAAATGCAACCTTAAGTGAAATGACGTTTAGCGAATCCAATTATGTCACAGTAGTTATCTGGAGCAGGCAGTGGCCAAACAACGTTATAACCAAACATTGCACGACTTTAAACGAGTATGGTCTCTAATAGATCAGCAATGTAATAATGAAACAAGGTTAACCGGGATGACATTAAGTGAGCAGTACCTGCATATTGTTATGTCTGTGATTATACTGAAAAGGACAACTTAATGTAAAAGAAGAGTGAACGATACAACCTTTTTTTTTTTTTTTTTTTTTTTTTTTTTTTTTTTTTTTTTTTTTTTTTTTTGTCACAAACCAGGAAAGTGAGTTTTCCTCCTTGAATAATGTCATGGTAAAACTGAGGAATCATATTTGGGAAAATTCTCATTGCAGTCACAGCGATATAACCCTATCACTCCTTCACTTTACTGACTGGAACATCAGCAGCGTAAAGGACTGTTAAGACTTGCACTAATTTACACGAGACAGAAAAACTGGGGGTCACATTTTCAAATATATCAGTAACTTAAGACTCTACATCACATTTACAGAAATGACTTGGGCACGTGGGGGGAAAGTAAAATTTGTAGTATCTTCTATTAGATACTATAGTTGAAAGAATTAGGAGACAAGTTTTCAGGCTACCAACCATCTGTCACCAAGCTTGGGAAAGAAGCAATCACAGTCCAGGCTAAGTATAACTCAGAACGACTGCTTTAGTTTAATCGATTTAAACAAAATAAATTTAACTACTTATTGTACAGAGTTATTTGCATCTGCGTGACAATGTCGTTTGCATAGTTTCAAGATTAGGTCAGTGAGGACCCTGGGGAGCCCCAAGATTCTTTTGAGGGTGCCACAGGGTTCAAGAAAGTAAACACCTGTTCTTCTTCGCCTGTCCCTACGCAAGGAGGTAAGCGCAGGCTTGTCTCTGCCCAGTTCCACTGCAAGGAGACAAGCTCATGCAGGTCTCTGCTTGCCCCTGTGTGAGGAGTGAAGTGTTTGGTCCTCCCCACTCTCCTGTGTACAGAGCTAAGTGCAGGATCTCTGTGCCCTGCTTCAGTGCAAAGAGCTCATCCCTGCCCCACAATGATCCTGCCTTGAGCAGGAGACTGGACTAGTTGACCTCCTGGGCTAGGGACAAACATTCAAAAAGCCGGAGCCTTATTTGATTCAATCTTTACAGGTTAGTCTAACCTGCCTAGATGGAACCAATTTGCAAGTGAATAGACATTCACTTTTAATGTAGGAAATGCAGGCACATGCCTGTAGTGGCTCAGGCCAGAAGCCGGGGAGCGATAGAGAGCACCCTTGGCTGCAGGGAAACTATGCTGAGGGGGCATGGCTAACCTTGGCAGTAGCCTCAAGTGAACTAGCCAGGGAGGGGGTTTAACTCCCCCCTCCCTGTCCCACTGGCATGGACCGGAGCCAGGATCCACCTGATGCTCTCTCCTCACCGCTCAGCAGCATGGCCACCTGAGACAGAGTGGGCAGGAAGTGGGTTTACTCCCCACTCTGCTCCCTCTGCCCTCAGAAGAGCACAGCCGGGGTCTGCCAGCCCTGACTGCTCTCTCTTCTGGTCACTCCCTGTGTGGGGTGAGAAGTGAGAAAAGCTCCCTCTCTGCTCCCTCTGCCAGATGCGAGAGGGAGGGGGAAATAATACCCCCTTCCTGCACCCTTGCCTAAGGAAGCCATGCTGGCCAGCCTCTGGCCAGGCCCCCACCCCTGCCATTGTGGCAGCAAGGGGGAAGCACCAGGTGGATCTTGGCATTGGTCCATGCCAGTGGGACAAGGATGGAGGAATTAAACCCCCTCCTTTGCCAGTTCACTTGATGCCATTGCTGGGGCTGGCCACGTGTCCACCGCTGAAGCAGTGAGCGGAAAAATGCCTGGCAGGTCCATGTTGGTGGGACAGGGTAGGGAGGGAGAAATAAACCTCTTCCCCTTTGCCTTAGGTGGGGCCGGCATCTGGCCATGCCCCCACCCCTGCCTGCCCCTGCTCAAGGTAGGGAGCAGAGGGGCAGAGCCTGCCTTGCTCTACTGGAGCAGACAACACAGTACAGCCCAAGGCTGCAGAGCATGCCAGGATGCAGGGGGACTCTGGCTTAACTTAAACCAGTAAGGGGTCTGGGACAGAAGTTCCATAAACTGATTTGAGCTCAATCAGTTGTCTGATACTACATTCAACCAGGTTTATCTCAAACTGGTTGTGGCCATTTTGGCCTGGTTTACGTGCACTGAACTTATGTTCTGTTACAGGTTTAAATCAGTTTCCGATAACTTAAACTGGTTTATGTGTAACTTCTGTCCTAGCCCTGAGGTCCTTTCTAGTTCTACTTTTCTATGATAAGAATGTGGCCAGTGATCACCTCTGAAGCAAAAAAAAAAAGACAGTAGATGAAAAGGCACCAGATATATATTAATGAGCCAATGCCTTCGTTTAGTCCATGGCTTTTGGTATTCAAGAAAGTTACAGATTTCTCTTTCCATGACTCCTTGGAGGATAAGGACTATGAAGTGAGAGATGGAATAGTTGTGTTATGAAAAGTGTTCTACCACTTATGAGGTTGTGTTACTTTTCTTTATCCTCTTTCTGTGGGACTTCATGCTGAAGTGTGGTGCTGGTGTTTGTTTGCATGCTGAGGTTACTGCAAGAGATGAAAAAACATGGAACCTAACATAAGGGTAGCTGAAGCAAGCCCCGTCCACACTGAGTATGTTACTGGACATCATGGGCGACTTGTGCCGGACACCAGTCAGCAACTGGGGGGATCCCCCCCGGCCGATCTCACTGACCGAGGGGACAGAAGGAAACCCCAGTGGCCAATCACAGTGATGTGGGGGTGGGAATCCCCCAGCAGCTGATCACGCTGACCTGGGGGGGTCCCTACGCATCACCACTGCAGGACAACAGTGTTTTCAACAACTGGACAGCAATGCTTGCAATGGGAACACCGAACAAAATTCTACCCAACGTGAGTAACACTAGTGGAAACTAAGAGACGGTATCTAGACCACAATATTATGTACAAAATCTCAGACTGGGTAGAAAATGTAGATTATCAACTTGTCATACAGTGTAGTCTCCAGGGAAAATACCTACTGTATGTATCCTCCTCAGTAAGTTTTAGCAGTCCACATTTTTTTCACATCATTATAAATTTCAAGCTACGAAGTGGTAGAATACACTTTAGTTAATTATAATGTTTTCAGTAAGACAAATTATACTTAAATGAATAGCAATTAAAAATTTAACTACAAGGCAACATTGTATTATGTCACAATTCACTGAAAACTGGTCATTTGTCAACAGCAATACAATAATGTTTTCAAATATGTTTTTTGTGACAACTTACTAGTATAGTAACCACTAATTCAACATTTGAAATGACCCAGTAATTTTACCATTAGATTAGGCATTAGTGAATTATGTCCAAGAAATATTTCATTCAATTAGTTACAAAGAGCTATAATTAAGAGGGAACTGAAAATAATAAAAAGAAAAATGTTGCAGAAACTGGGCTTTCATATAAATTGGAGGATATGGATAGGAGATTGGAAATTACATTTCTAGCCCTTAAGACTGCAGATGAAGCCTTCTGTGCATATTGTACGCACATACTTATACCTTGCTTCCTAGAAATACTCTTCTGGTTCATAGATATCTATCTAACAGCAGGGTTTTGCTTGTTTGGTTTGGTTGGGTTTTTTTACCACATACCACCGCCCTGCTGGCCCTTGGTTGTACATAACCCACTCCTTCCTGGGAGGAGATCCTGTAGCCCAGGGGCAACCTGCATCTCCACAGCACCCTGGAGCCCACTAGAGCTGGGTCCTTGGTGGGTCCCTTGAGGGCAATAAAATAAAAATAGAGCTGCTAACTCCCCTACACTACTCCCTACCCACTCCCACCCTGAGCCCTAAACAGCAGCTGCAGACAGTGGACACATACTCCCATAAGTGGGCTGCAAACAGTGCACCACAGGGGCAAATTCGATCTTGATCCCTCTGGGGCTCCCAGACAGCTGCCCACCTCACCCCACACCCAGCCCTGCTTTGCTCTGAAGCTCTCTGCCTGCCTGTGGGCAATTCTACAGGTCTTTGTATTACCTGTTCAGAGACCTAGCAGGTCTCCAGACCACCTGGAGTAAGCATCCCACTCTGCCCCAGCAGTGTAGGAGAGAGGTCCCTGTGGGTTGCTGCAGTGTATGCTGCTTTCTGGACACAGCCTGGTGGCCCTGAGGGGGCTCCACTGTGGCGTGTCTTACTCTCTGCAGCACCATCAGCTCCTTCTTCTGGCTGGTAAGTGTGCATGTGTGTCACCCCTCATCCCAGATTTGC